CTCTCTCTCTCTCTCTCTCTCTTCTCTCTGTCTCTCTGTCTCTCTCTCCCCAAGGTGGGGAACAAATGGGGTAGAGACTGCTGGGAGTCCAGGGGTGGCTGGCACTTGGACAAGAACTCCCATGGAGCCTTTTGCCAGAGTCCTCAAGCCCCAGAACTCAGGTCCAGGGGCGCCTCCCCTGGCAGGACAGTGAATCCAGAGGGGTCGGGGGCTTCTGACCTGAAGCTCACTGTCCATCAGAGCTCCGCCAGTCTTCTCTTTCTGGCTGGATCCTGAGTGAATTACCCCACGGGCCATAGCTAGCTCAAAATCATAAATTCTCACCAACATAAACAAGAGTTGATGTCTCTAGAAAGATTTTCACAGTTTCTTTCTCTTCCCTTTCTTCTCTGTGCCTCTTTTTCTGTCTTTTCTAATGTATTTTTATACATTTTCCCCTTTAGACAAAATGCTGCAAGAGTTTCCCCAAAAGAGGGCCCTGAGAGGAAGGCAGAAAGGGGCTGGGAGGCAGAGGGGAGCAGATGTTCCTCCCTTTGCCCACTTCAGCTTTGCCACTGTATACTGCAGTCTCCCCCTCACTCCTTTAAACTTCATGGTTCCCCCATCCCCTCTAAACTTGACTTGGTCACACTCTCCTTCCTCTGGGAGCCCTGCTTCATGAAATGCCCTTCTTCCTTTGATTTTTTTTAATTATTGGAAAAAATACATCCAGTGATGGAGACTCACTCTGTGGAGTGTCAAACCAAATTTGTTATAGCATTTCTGAGAATCCCCTGAGCTGGGAGGGAGGCCTTCCCATGAAGAAATCAGGTTGTAATTTTAGAAGGGAGCAGATATTAAAGATGAAATTAGATAGAAAATACAGGGATTTCTTCCACTCAAGGTCTGGCCACAGCAGAGCAAAGTTAGCTGGGGCCGAGAGATTTCCTGGAGTACATCTCTCTTTCCGTGGGCTCCAAGGCCCTGCTCAAAGACAGGCACCCCTCTTTCACCCCCAAACCAGTTCCCTTACACGTATATTTTAAAAAGAAACCGAAGTCTTACTTTCAAAGCACACACTTAGTCTCAACTAGGGAATCAACAGAAGCAGAAGCGATTTTTTTCCCCCTTCTTGACATCTGGCTTGTGATTGGCTGGAAGGGGGTCAGCTGACTTTGTCATTTTGTCTGTCCTGGATTGGAGCCGTCCCTATAACCATCTAGTTCCGAGTACAAACTGGAGACAGAAATAAATATTAAAGAAATCATAGCCCGACCAGGTAAAGGCAAAGGGATGAATTCCTACTTCACTAACCCTTCCTTATCCTGCCACCTCGCCGGGGGCCAGGACGTCCTCCCCAACGTCGCCCTCAATTCCACCGCCTATGATCCAGTGAGGCATTTCTCGACCTATGGAGCAGCCGTTGCCCAGAACCGGATCTACTCGACTCCCTTTTATTCGCCACAGGAGAATGTCGTGTTCAGTTCCAGCCGGGGGCCGTATGACTATGGATCTAATTCCTTTTACCAGGAGAAAGACATGCTCTCAAACTGCAGACAAAACACCTTAGGACATAACACACAGACCTCAATCGCTCAGGATTTTAGTTCTGAGCAGGGCAGGACTGCGCCCCAGGACCAGAAAGCCAGTATCCAGATTTACCCCTGGATGCAGCGAATGAATTCGCACAGTGGTGAGTTTTACAGCTCCGAGATATAAATTAAATAAACTGAACTGGCTTTATGACCGGCTTCCCTAGAAGAACGGGCGGAGAGAGTTTTTTATGGCCCCATAAAAACAATCACGCTCGTCTCCTCGCCGACGCCGAGACATGGCCCCCTCTTCTGCCCCCTCTGCTTGCCTCCCGCGCTGGCTCACAGGGGCCTGGCTCCCTCAGCCCTGACTGACCGGAGGGCTCCAATGGAAGCTGAGGGGGCAAGAACAGGGCAGGGGGTGAGGGGAGGGGGAAAGGGTGAGGAGTCCCCCAAAGGCGAGTCAGGCTGAGAAGATGGGAGAGGAAGAGGACAGGACACAAAAGTGGGGAGAAGTTTCTGAAGAGGTGGGGCACTCAGGGAGGTGGGGAGCCCAGTCCTTGAGAAAATGGGCCCTTATCCTCAGTACTGAGATTTTTCAAAAATCAGCTTTTAGGCTGGCAGCTTTTTGCCTGGTTTTTGCCCTGCCCCCCTCCCTCCGGACTGTTCTTTGGAACACAGGAGGACTATATAAGTTGGGGTTCTAGCTGTACCCCAGTGGGGGTGGGGTACAAGCAAAAGGGTTTAGAAGGCTAGAGGTTGAGGGGGCTGCGATCTGCTGGGCAAGTTGGGAGGACTTTGCTAGGTGTAATCATCGTGGAAAGACGCTTTGCTGATTGTTTTTAGTGTGTTTTGTGCCCGGATCTCTAGGGGTCGGCTACGGAGCAGACCGGAGGCGCGGCCGCCAGATCTACTCTCGGTACCAGACCCTGGAACTGGAGAAGGAATTTCACTTCAATCGCTACCTAACGCGGCGCCGGCGCATCGAGATCGCCAACGCACTCTGCCTGACCGAGCGACAGATCAAAATCTGGTTCCAGAACCGCCGGATGAAGTGGAAAAAAGAATCTAATCTCACGTCCACACTCTCGGGGGGCGGCGGAGGGGCCGCCGCAGACAGCCTTGGCGGAAAAGAGGAAAAGCGGGAAGAGACAGAAGAGGAGAAGCAGAAAGAGTGACCAGGATTGTCCTTGCCACCCCTTTCTCCTCCCTCGCTCATCCCAACTCACCCCTGATCACACACTCTGTATTTATCACTGGCACAATTGATGTGTTTTGACTGCCTAAAACAAAATTAGGAAGTCAAAAGTGGACCTGAAAGTCAGCTCTGGACCCACCTCCTTCTCCGCACAACTCCTCATCATGCGCCTCCTCCTCCTAGCTTGTTCTCAGCTTGTGTGCAGGCCCCTTCCCCCGCCCAGGCCTGGGGGGCACGTTCTCTGAACCTCCCTTCAGACTCCACAGACTTCCCTCGAAATGAGATCGTGCCCCCCTCCCTCGACGCCCCTCCACCCCCCAGAGAGCCGGTTCCCGGGCCTGGGGCCTCCACTCTAGGGCCTCAGGGCCAGGCCTGGCAGTCTGGGAGGGCGGGAGGCTCTAGGAGGGCGCGCCTTGGCCTCACAGAACCCCCAGGTCCTCCCTGCAGCCCCTGCCCGGCCCCTCTGCCCCAGCAAATGCCCAGACCAGGCAAATTGTATTTAAAGATTCCTGGGGGTCATTATGGCATATTACAAACTGTGACCGTTTCTGTGTGAATATTTTTAGCTGTATTTGTGGTCTCTGTATTTATATTTATGTTTAGCACCGTCAGTGTTCCAATCTCATTTTAAAAAGGAAAAAAAAAAGAGGGAAAATTACAAAAAGAAAAAAAGTGAATGACGTTTGTTTAGCCAAGTAGGAGTAAATAAATAAATAAATAAATCCCCTCGTGTTACCCTCCTGTATAAATCCGACCTCTGGATCCGTTCTCGAATATTTAATAAAACTGATATTATTTTTAAAAGTTTATATTCGCATTTCAGTCAATTCGCTCGCCCGCCGGCTTGGAGCAGGCTCCAAGCGCTCCCGCGTCTGCCCGCCGCCTGCAAACCCCCAGTCCTCTGCACTCGCCTTCTCCGGGAGCCCGGCGCCGAGTCCCGGCCTCCGGCTCTTCCTGTGATCGCGCTGCGGGCCTGGGAGGCCTCTCCGGGCTCCCTTCGCTGAGAAGCTCACACCCGCAAAAAAAAGCCGTTTAGGATTTTGTTGGGGGCGGGGGGGGGTGAGTCCGGGTCGGGTTGGACTCCAAGCTCCACACAGGCCTTTCTTCTTGCCAGTTATAGTCTAGGGTCCTGGGCTTCTGAACCCAGAGCCCCAAAAGGCCAGAAAAGAAGCACTATCCAGGCACCAGGGTCGCCCCCGCCCACTCACAGGAGCATGGGGAGGGGGAGCCGCCCTATCAAGGCCCCCCCGGCCCGCGCCAGGCCGGCTGTTCCGAAACGTGGCGGAGGCGGAGAGCGGAGGGGAACAGAAGACCGTGCGATTGGAGTCCTTCGGCAGGGATTGAGTGATTCAAGGACATCACGAAAGAGAAAGCCTGGAAACTGAGCTCTGGCCTGCGCTGGGACTCCTGACGTGGCCGGGACAAAATACCTTCTTCCTCACAGCCCCAGGCGGTCTGGTTCCTTCCTCTTCTCTCCTCAGACCTGGCCGGGGAGGGAAGCACAGCACCCTAACCATTATTCAGCTTCTGCCTTCTCTTCCCAAGCCCAGCCAGAGAAACCTGAGTGAGCCTAAGGCAGAGGTGGTGGTGAAAGGATCTCCCCGAGGGGAAAAAAATCCACCAGAGTTTTCCAGACTCTCTAGATCCCCACCAGCGCCCCCTCCAGCACCTCCACCAGCCAGCGGGGAGGGAGGCTTCTCTTGGCAGAGGAAGAGATATCTAGGGAAGAAGCAGCCAGGAAAGAGTAAAACTTGGGACTAAGAAAGGAAGCGAAAGGGCTACAGACACCCTGGCCAAAGGCTGCCATGGTTGCCCAGGCGATTGTCCTGCCCAACCACCAGCCAGGTCCTCTCCATTGCTTCCAAAACAGCTTAGAAATTGCTTTCTAACGGGCCTTCTGGATTCAGGTTCCTGGAAGGCCTGGGTTAGGGGCCTTTACCCTGAAGAGTGCAAACAGGCTTTTCCCTCTGCTCTGCTCATGTAATATTTGTGGAAGCTCGAATCTTGCCTCTCTGTGGCCTCAAGTAACATCTATTTTCTATGTAAAGTATCTGCCATCTGTACCACTTGAGGATCACACACAAGGATGTAGAGCAGGCTGCTATCACATTCTGTCTGGTTCTAGATGCACACATGCATACATGCGTGTGTATACACACACACACACACACACACACACACACACTTGAAAACCACCTATTGCCACTCTGAGGCTCCTGGCATGGTGAAATATAACCAAGTACCTCTGGCTCCTCACTGCTATGCCCATCCCAGAGTCCCCAGTGCTCTCAGCCTTGTGACCTCCCTGTCTAGCTGTGCCCACCCAGGAACCCACCTCTTAGGCATCCTGTCTACCTCTTCAGTGGCTCAGTCCACTTTCCCATGTTGATAGGCACATTCCCAGCAGTGTCGAGGCCTTAGGGCCTTTGAGGCAAGGGATCTCAACGTTTGGTTTAAGGAACCTGTGATAAACTCACTTGGTTCTCCAACCTGGGCAGTGGCTGCCTTTTTACCCAGCCATTAAATTTAGCAGGCCCCGGAGTTAGAAAAAACGGGCTATACATTTAAAAAAAGCATCTGTGTACATCCTAAATGAGCCCTCATCTTTTTCTCAAATGTAAGTAGAATTTAAAAGGCCTGCCCAAGAAATCTTTGCAGCAACAACCACCTTCTCCACAGGGTAGAAAATCCAGCCGCCAGAAGGCGAGCCGGCGCATCAGGATGCAATCCCTCCGAGTCAGCACCAGGTGTCGCTGTGGGCTCGTTGTCCCGGCTACCCCCCAATTCCAAGAACCATTTTTTCCCCCTTCCCTCTCTCTGTCTCACTCCCTCTCCCCTCTGGTTGAGCTTTGCCAACATATCAAGATGCGTTTCGCCGGCTTCCATCACTAACCTCCCGGAGGTCATCAAGCCAAATTTATGAGTGGCCGCTCGAGTCACGTGACTCTATTTAAGGCTCCCTTATTTGGGAAGAGCGCATAGGATAAAGAAAGAGATATCTCCACCTATAAATTGTGCACTTTGGAGAACAAAAAAAACCCTCAACTTCAAAGAGTCACAAATCACCCTTAATCAAAAAGGGTGCAGAAATTTTTTTGGGGCCCTCCCCGCCATGAGCTCCTACGTAGCCAATTCATTCTATAAGCAGAGCCCCAATATCCCTGCCTATAACATGCAAACTTGTGGGAACTATGGATCGGCCTCAGAGGTGCAGGCATCCAGGTACTGCTACGGCGGATTGGATTTAAGCATCACTTTCCCACCGCCTGCGCCTTCCAACTCTCTCCACGGGGTAGACATGGCTGCCAACCCCCGGGCTCACCCCGACCGCCCCGCCTGCAGCGCCGCGGCCGCTCCGGGACACGCTCTGGGCAGAGACGAAGCAGCTCCTCTGAACCCTGGGATGTACAGTCAGAAGGCGGCTCGCCCGGCGCTGGAGGAGCGAGCTAAGAGCAGAGGGGAGATCAAAGAGGAGCAGGCGCAGACAGGGCAGCCCGCCGGACTGAGCCAGCCACCGGCCCCGCCACAGATTTACCCGTGGATGACCAAACTGCACATGAGCCACGGTAAACTTTAGGACTTCATTTTGCGCGCTCGGGTCCGCCTGGGTTTTATAGGCCATGCGGGGCAAATAAAGAAAAAAAACCTGCGGCCATAAATTTTACGATCCAGGCATCAATGGCTCGTAAAACTGTCCACTAAAAGGCTTAGAGGCTGTGTGCGCCCAAATTTACGACGACATAATTGGATCATAGGAACAAAACGTGTATAAAAGGCAATATTCAATTTTTGGGGGAGAGGGAGGGAGTTAAAAAAATAGAGGGATCTGAAGGGTGAGGAGCGCGGGGCTCCAGAGCGGGGATCCCCCCGCGGCTCCCTCCTCCCGTAAAACTGTCCACTAAAAGGCTTAGAGGCTGTGTGCGCCCAAATTTACGACGACATAATTGGATCATAGGAACAAAACGTGTATAAAAGGCAATATTCAATTTTTGGGGGAGAGGGAGGGAGTTAAAAAAATAGAGGGATCTGAAGGGTGAGGAGCGCGGGGCTCCAGAGCGGGGATCCCCCCGCGGCTCCCTCCTCCCTCCCCTCTGGAGCCGGCTCGGCCGGCGCTCGCGGCTCCGGAGGATTCCAGCGACTCGGGAGGGGGGGGGGGGGGGGGGCCCGCGGGCCG